GTGGCATTGGGCGTCGTCGCGCGGGAGCTGCTCCTCGAGACTGGAAGCAGGCACAGCGCAAGGTCAGCTAAGGGACCCTTTTCCAGGGGTGACACGTACTTCCATTTCCTGCAGCCAAGGGGTCAACCAGCTACTCTGAATAGTTCTGGGAAGGGGAAGAAAGATCAGGCACGGAGAGGGATAGAGCACGCACTTACCCACAGGAAGGTTGGGTTGGGCTCTCCCATAATCCAAACCTTTGCAGCTTCTGGCTGTTCCCGCTTTCCAAACCAGCTGACACGTGGTCCAGGGGAACCTGCGGAACAGCACAGCAGGGCTCGGTTAGCAGCCTCCAGCCCGTGGAGCCGAGAGAGCCCTGCACGCGGTTTGGGAACTGCCCTCCCTTCCCCACGGAGCCCACAGCCCACAGCCCACGTGCTCGCAGATCTGGCGGCCACACCGGAGGAAATAGGATTTGGGGGGGCCTGGGGTGGCCCCCTGAGGAAGGGAAGGGTTGGGGTTCAGCCCTGTGCTCCCCCTGACTGGTACATAAGCACCGTGGCTTCCCGCCATCCCAGCTGGGGAGCTGGGGCGCTGCAGGCCAAGGGAAGGGAAGGCGTCTGGCCGTACCGGTACCTACGGATGGGGGGATTCCTGCAGCCAAGGGGTCAACCAGCTACTCTGAATAGTTCTGGGAAGGGGAAGAAAGATCAGGCACGGAGAGGGATAGAGCACGCACTTACCCACAGGAAGGTTGGGTTGGGCTCTCCCATAATCCAAACCTTTGCAGCTTCTGGCTGTTCCCGCTTTCCAAACCAGCTGACACGTGGTCCAGGGGAACCTGCGGAACAGCACAGCAGGGCTCGGTTAGCAGCCTCCAGCCCGTGGAGCCGAGATCTGCACGCGGTTTGGGAACTGCCCTCCCTTCCCCACGGAGCCCACAGCCCACAGCCCACGTGCTCGCAGATCTGGCGGCCACACCGGAGGAAATAGGATTTGGGGGGGCCTGGGGTGGCCCCCTGAGGAAGGGAAGGGTTGGGGTTCAGCCCTGTGCTCCCCCTGACTGGTACATAAGCACCGTGGCTTCCCGCCATCCCAGCTGGGGAGCCGGGGCGCTGCAGGCCAAGGGAAGGGAAGGGGTCTGACCGTACCGGTACCTACGGATGGGGGAAGGCGGCACAGGGCCGAAGTGACCTGCCCAGGGATTTCTGAGGAGACCAGACCCGACCACGAACCTCAGCGCAGCCCCCCCTGAGGGTCTTAAGCCACCCGCCCATCCTCCTCCAGCCGCTGGCCTCTGACCTGCTCCGCAGGGACTCGGGCATTTCGTCATCCAGCTACATCCCTTGTTCCAATCCGAGTGACTCATCTGGCTCCCAAACCAGGCTTCACACCAACCACAGCTTACCCGCTGTCCCGGCTGTTCCCCCCTTAGGCTGGGCTTAAACATCGCCCCCACTGAGCCAGCCCACCCCATCCCATCTCCAGCCTCCCCGGCAGAAGGGAAGGGAAGGCTCCTGGCGAAGCGCAGGAGCACACGTCTCGCGCACTCCGGAAAGGAAAGACACGGAGCCAGAGCAACCCCTGCGCTTCCCTCCCAGGAGCCCAGATGCAGGGTTGGCGTTTGCCTCGGCGTGGCTCATCTGAAGCCAGACGAGGGTTTCC